ACATACTTTTTCTTGTGTTTATTTTCTTCATAGATATTTATTGTAAAGATTTTTTCACTTAGAAGTCGTATTGTATTTCTTATTATCGTGAATACATTATTATTTATTATTGAAGAATCTTACCATAATAAAAATTTTTATTTATTAGTTTATCATGTCATAGTCTTTTTATATGACAAATTTATTGAATTTTTGTGCTCTATATATTTTTTTTTCTTAGAGAATCTAGAATGTTAATACTGCAATTTAAAAAAAAAAATTCATTTTATTTAAAATTAAATCATTATATTTCGTTATTCTCTTTGTTTCTTTTTGATAAGTTTCTTTTTAATAATTTTTTTAGTATTATAATTATATTAATATTCTCATTTTTATTTAGGAAGTATTATATATTTAAATTTAAAATGTTCAAATCTTTTTTTATATGCTGCTGAAATATAGTCTTTTAATTTGTTGTTTTTGAGTAACAATTTTAATTTAGGAATTATGTTAAATTAAAAGGAAAAATTATGTTCAATTAAATAATAATTTTTAGAGTAAAAATTTATGTATATAGTGAAATCGAAGTTGAAGAATGAAATGAAAATAGGTTTCTCATATTTAACATCAATCATTTTTTTGATTAACTATTTTGTGATTTGTATAATTATATTGTATCTGCTTTGTAACATAATATAACTTATTGAAGTAAGTTATAGTATAAGGGGAGTAAAAAATAGTTTCATTTTTTGACGTTGGTATTTCAGTATATTTTATCAACATACCATCAAAAGATGTCACATCTATTTTTTGTGTTTGATAATTTCATTCTCGAATGTCGGTACATTTTGTTGTTAAGGGAGGGAAGCGGTTAAATTCTCATCTGTGGATATATGGATTTATTCACAAATGGTAAAATCTTTTTCTGTATTATTGAATACATTTTTTGAATATTGCAATAAGCATATAATGACTATAATAATGAATATTTTATGGAAATATAACTATAAATATATTTATAAGTTATTATTTGTTTGTTGTTTTGTAAAAAGTTAGTTTTTAATCTTCAAGATTTTCTTTTATATCATAGTATTATATCATAGTACTTTAATATTTCGAGTTTAATTTATAGTTTTGAAAATTTTCCGATTCATTATTCCGATTTTAGTAGTACATTTTATTTTTAATATTGATTTTTATATATTCTTTAGTATATGAAAAGTTTATATTTTAAAAATTTTTCATTTTGATAAATATATACATAATAGTAGCGTAAAATTCATTCCTATTTTATATATTAGAGATATTAATTCGATTTTGATTTCATAATATAATAGAATAATAATAATAATAATAACAATAAAAAAGTTAGTTTCTTAATTAACTTCTTAACTAACAATAAAATTAAATATTTATTAGCAAATTTAAAGCAATTATTTATTCTTTCTTATTAGTCGGGGAAATCGGATGTATAAAATTTAAATTAAAATGTAATAATAATTATAATCATTTATATCTATAACATCATTTTTTAATTATTTATAATACTTTTTTTTTAACATCGAACACTATGAATATATTATACATATATTGTATTATATTCATATATTTTAGTTACGAAAAATATTTTTATAAAAATATTAGTAATAAAATATTTGAAATAAAAGTTTAACTTATTCTTATAATAAGTTAATATAAATTTATTTTAAATATAAATACAATATAAATTTATTTTAAATAAAAAATTTTAAATATAGATAATATATCTTTAAATAAGGTTTTATCTTTAAATGAGGTAATATAATCTTTAAATGAGGTTTTATTTTTCGTATATTTGTGTGATTTTTGAAACATTAAAAAAAAATCTAATATAGTTTTACCGTTAAATATATTTTTTTAAAATTAATAATAAATATTTTTATTTATTAATCGATATTTTTATAAATATTTGCGAATATAAAATAATAATATAAAATATTACTATTATAACAGCAGATATATAGATAGGTACTTTATCTTTCTTTTGAGGAGAAAACGTAAAATCATATATTATATGAGAAAATAGAATAGATGAAGACAAAAGAAAATATTTGATATCTATTTTTAGTTATCCAATATTAAACAAATTTGTAATTATAAAAAGTAATAATAATAATAATAATAATTAAAAAAGTTTATAATAATGATTTTCGATATTTAAATATTTTGCATAAAATGTATATTTTAAAATAAAGTATGAATAATAGGGAAGATGTGAATAAATTTGTAAATGTTGCAAATTTGCACTAATGAATGTTATTATTTATTTAATAATAATTTAAAGCGTTAGCATAGAGAAAAAGTTAATAAGAAAAATTAGAATATTAGATATTTTTTTCAAAGAAATTTAAATTATTATATTTATGATTTCTTCATGTCTCTTTCGCTCGTATTCAATAATTCGAAATCTTTTCATTTTATAAAATTATATAAAAGAAGATCAAAATTATATCAAGAATTAATCTCTGATTTTCATTACAAAATGAAATGTAAGCAATAAGCAAAATAATTCAATTTCATAAGAGAAAACACAACAAATAAGAAGTAAAAAAAAAAATTGTTGTTACGTGAGAACAACAGAATTACGTTCCACAAGTATGTAGAAACTTTTCACGTATGCAGTAAAGTATAGGATCACATTCACAGAAATTAATTTAATAAAATTTTTTAGTTGCTTCGTTAATTTTAATGTTTCTTATTTTTCTATTCGTTTTTCCTAATTTTTTTACTACTCTACATCTTTAAATATTTTGTTATGTATAGATTATTTTAATTTTTTATCTCTAAGTTACTCAAAAAATATATTCTAGGAAATAATTGGTAATAGTAGAAAAAAGAAAAATTGTTATAATTATAATTATAATTATTGTTAATAATTGTTGTTTCCATTTTTAATAACGCACAAATGCGTGTTAATTCGATAATAATGAGTATGAAGTAAAATTAGCATGAGGAAACAAAAATTTTTTGTAGAAAGAAAATAAAAATTAATGTTTCTTTTTGCAACGTGAAAGTACTCAACTGTTTTCAAAAGTAAAAATTTTATTAACTTTCGCGTAATAAATTAATTATTGAAAAAATATATCATTTAAAATAAACGAATAATGATAATATCCATGAAAATAAAATAACACAGAGATATAATCATTTTATACAATATGTAAAAATCATTTTTTCTTTATCTTCCACACTTACATGCCGTTTTATTCCTTATTTTTAATAATACGACCATGTGTAGATCAAAATTTAACGCGTTATGTCATAATTTAAATATTTTGATAAAAACGCCTTTACGACTCGCAATAAAATCTTCCTAAACCTCTATTTCCTCCACCTATCGATAAGGACAGATTTCTACAATGTCGATGCAACAATACACCTTTATAAATAAAATTTACGTTTATTTAACGTTTACACCTATATATTTTCGATTAACGATTTAACTCACAATCTCATCCCTCCATCATCCTTTCATCTAATATCGTATTCATCGATTTCAATCTCGTTTCGTTTCGTTTCGTTTCGGCGCACCTAGCGTGCAACAAGTACGCCCGGCATATATGCACGCAGACAGCATCCTTTCCTTGGCACTGTCCAAAACGATTACAACGAAATATTTTGGCCAAACTGACCGTCTAATTACCGTTCGCACAAAGCTTGCTCTTCTAATCGATATAACCGATCATCGAATAAATTTACTTTACGACACTGTGTCATCCCCGCAACGTTCAATGCACACAGGTGCGAAATCGATCGATCGGTTCATCAACCGTGTCACCCT